GAAAAGAATCTAAACAGGCTTAAACAAACACATAAATAAAAAGCCATAGCTAAAAGGTGCTAGATCTATGTGAGAAGAATGAAGCGATCAGCTACACTCCATAGCAAGTCAGCTCTTAGAGGTCCCTTCATTCTTGAGCCTTATATTATCCTCCTCTAGAAAATGCCTCTGACATCATTAATGCCCCAACCATTCGTCCTTACTGTATTTTCAGTCTGTGCACCTACCATAGTTCACGGGCTGATAGACACTCTTTGATGAACCACCCATCAATCAGAGCACAACTCCCCATGGGCAAATGCCAGTTGGTTCACTTGTCAAGGACGTCAGCTCATGGAAGTTTCTAGTAATGAATGTGTAACAGGTATCTAGACCTTAAATGAAATTGTGCCCAGGTCTCCTGTTTTAACCTCTCTGGGTTAAAGCTGGGGATGGTTGTTCTGTGATCATGGGGGGGGGGGGGGTCCTGCAGATACGGGACGGGGCCGAATGGTCCTAAGGGGGAGGCCCAGAACTCTCCTTCCCTGTCTTGCACTTAGCTCTAAGCTCCTTTTCCTGTACCCAGCATCATTCATTCCCCCCCCCCGCCTCTGCATGCAGATCTGTGTTTTCTCCCCTGCACTGAGCTCCACACACACTCCCTGCTGTTGCCCCACAACTAGGTCTGTGCTTTCAACCCTATATTTCCTCACGCCCATCTCTGAGCTCTGGTCCCTTCCCTTCCTCCAGCTCTATAATCTTTCTGACCCACATCAGCACATAGCTTATAGCTAGAGAAGTGGTCAGATTGAAGAACACCATCTTCCCCAGAGGTCAGCCAGTTCTGGCAGCCCCTGACCTCATCCTCCTGCTGCATCTGCACTTCCCCAGGAAGTCCACCAAACCTGGATCCAATTCACCCACTCTCCCAAGGTCTGGGGGTTCCTGGTGCCCCTGCTCTGCTTCTCCTGTGGTATGGGGTACAGAAAAAGTGGTGTGCCACTGGGATAAGAAGGGTTGCGCAGCCACTCAAATTTGGCATTCTGTTCAGATGGCAGGAGCTACCTGGCACAATTTCTAGCTCTGGTCAGTGGCTATGGGAGAGGGGGAGGATGACTTGTTTTGTCTCACTCTTTTTTCACCTCTGAAGTATGTGTGTGAGTGAATGGGAAGAGTGGACTTTGGATAGGATGTTTGCTGTCTGTGACAGCTGTGGACATACTTGTTGGTTGCTCCTGACAACCTTTTGTGGAGGGAGGGTAATACAAACTACTGGTTCCAGCATCTCTTTTCCCAGTGGCATTTGACTGTGTCTGGAGCAATTCATTCTCTGTCAGTACCTAGCCCTGAACAACTCAAAGTCTAATTTGCTTATGGTTTACCCTCCATGGCAGTCAAAATAACACACTTCTGTGTATGTGGACACAAGGTGCATTTCCCTCAATTGAGAAACAACAACTGTAAACCTGCCAAATGCAAAGTTATTCTCACCCACCTTGCCTTGAAGGAAAACCATTAAAAGATAACACAGTCTCCTGCATGTATTAGCATTTCTCCTGAATCTCTTCCCTAGGACTGTAAGTATGACTACAATCAAGCCATACTGCCAGGGAGCCAGCTGTAGGGCTAGCACAAGGTCAAAACACAGATTGCCCTAGTCTCCTGTGGAAGCCCCAGATATGCCACATTTGATTGCCTTTTATTTCTTAGTGGGGTCACTGTGAATGGAAATTTTAGAAGACAATTTTCTCTACAGCCTTTGAACTCACTGAAAGTTTTCTGTTGATGAAATGGAGGACAGAATGTCAGGAGCAATACACATGCACGCACACAAATATCTCGGCTTGGCTTAAGACTGCAGTAAAAATGTAAAATATTTATGGTCTGAGCCTATGAAATAAACTTTATATGAATGAGCAACTTGTATGCACATGAGTAAAACTAGTTACTCTTACATGTTTGCAGAAAGAGGCCTGCAATCTGATTTTTTTAATCTACCTTGGCTTCGAATCACCTATGTTTTTCATTAACTTCAGTGGGAACAGAACTGGATTCTTCAAGAACACAGATTTGTAACTGTGCCAAAATAATACCAACAAAACGGTGATTGTTTTGTCATATAAATTAGCTAGGGAACAAATGTAAGCTTCCCAACTTTTCTCATTTGTACTGCAGCTTGGAATTAAGCCAATAAGTCAGCAGGAGAAAAGAAATGGTTATGAACCAGGCCATCAAGAGTTCCATCTATGAGAGTCTGAAGAATGACAGAAATAATGAATATAATTAAAACTGCATGAAGCCAAGACAAAAATAATTAATATACAACTTGGAAGGCTCCAAGAAGCCTATATCATGACAAAAGCTTTAAATAATTTTGATATTCAAAAAGCTTTTGGCTTTCAAATAAGAAATCAAATGTAATTTAAACTATTTTAGAGAAGAGCCTACTAAAATGAAGCTACCAGACATGAGGTCTTATTGGAACCTAAACTAGAGCTGCTCAGAGTTTGTGCCTCGCAGAGAGTTAAATGAAAACCTCTGCCCAGTGCAGTCAAAAAAAAAAAAAAAAGTTAACAAGGTGTTAGGTGGCATGAACGATTGGACTGGAGAATAATATTGAAAATATTATAGTGACTTTATGGAAATCAATGGTGCAGATTTGTTTAGAATACTATCAGGCCCGCTGGTGGGGGTTGGGGAAAAGTGGGCAATTGCCCCCGGACCTGGAAATTCTAAGGAGTCTAGGGTGTCTAGCCCCCTTTGAATTGTTGCCAGGCTCTGAAGAATGGGTGGGGAGTGTGAAGTGCCAATCAGAAAGCTGAGGAGGGCTGGCTTTCCCAGCCCCACCCCTTACACCTGATGTCCTGCCCCTACCAAGGGTGTGGAGCTGCCTCCGCACACACACCTTGCCCTCGGGCCTGAAGTGGTTGTTGACTTCATTGAATACTATGTGTAGTACTGGTCACCAACTGTCAAAGAGGATATTGTCATGCTAGCAGGAATTCAGAGAATTGCAATGACAACATTTAAGGGCATGAAAAACAAACCAACAAACAAACCCTTATTTGAAGAGAAATGAAAACACTGGAATTGTTTACCACAGAAAATAAATGAAACAAGAGAGAGCATAATAAAAACATACCAAATGAATGGAAGGCAGATCAGGAATTTTTGTACTCCCTGCCTCATAACACAAAACAAAAGGAACATTTAGTTAAATTAAAATACGGGAAATTCTTAATCCAGAAATATTAACCAATGATGGTTATTGAGGGATTATTATGAATATCCAGAGTCATAATTAATTACAACATTTTTGGAAGGTATATTAATCTTGAAAAGGGCAAGGAGAAGGCCAGAGGAGCTATCTCATTGTTCACAGGAAGGGAATGCTACGTCTACACTACAGGCTTCTTGCGCAAGAAGCTTTATATGGAAGAGATCTTATGCAAAAACTTCTTGCACAAAAGTGCGTCCACACTACAAAAGCGCATCACAAAAACTATGTGCTTTTACACAAGAGAAAGACTGCATGGACACTCTCTCGAAAGAAAGCTCTGATTGCTAATCACAGAATAGCCACCAGAGCGCCTATGCTTTTTTCTATTGGCTCTTTTTGTATAAAACCCCCTGTTCCCCACCCACACACTCGTGTGAAAAAAGGAGTTATTCCTTGTGAAAGTTGAATACTTACACTGCAAAAACACCTCTGTTCTTTTGATTTATTGTAAATGTACTTGCACAAAAACGTGCTTGAGATGTGCACGCTCCGCGGGGTTTTGCGTAATGTAGACGTAGTCGAAGAAGTAAGATGGAGCAGGGCTGCTTTTCTCTTTCTGTTCTCTCCTTCCCCATCAGCTCCTGTGAGAATAACTTTAGCTCCTGAAGAGATGGGGCAGAGTTCTGCATGCTTCCTGCAGCAGCCTTCATTGACTAGTTAATCAGTGGAGGTTTATTCTCAGACAGTACTAAATACATTGTCTCTTCAGAGTTCTGCCTTTTATTTGAGAAAGGTTAATTTCCAGGTCAGTAACTCGTTGAACCCATTTTAAGCATACTTTCAATCACCGCACATGATGACCAGTGTGGCTGAACGGCTGCAGAGAACTAGGCTTTTGTTGCTGACTTCTCCATGGAGGACATGGGGAAGCAGAATCTGAATTATGACTGAGTCACTGTTATACTCTAGGGCTGCGTTTACATTGGCAAGATTTTGCGCAAATACTTTTAACGGAAAAGTTTTTCCGTTAAAAGTATTTGAGCAAGAGAGCGTCTATACTGGCATGTGCCTTTGCACAAAAGATTTGCTTTTGCGCAAAAGCATTCATGCCAGTGTAGACGCTTTCTTGTGCAAGAAAGCTCGGTTGGCTGTTTTAGCCATTGGGCTTTCTTGCGCAAGAAAGTAACGTTGCTGTCTACACTGGCCCTCTTGCATAAGAATACTTGTGCAAGAGGGCTTATCCCTGAGCGGGAGCATCAGAGTATTTGCACAAGAACCACTGATTTTGTACATTACAAAGTCAGTGTTCTTGCGCAAATACTCGCAGCCAGTGTAGACTGCCGCCACAGTGTAGACAGTGGCCACTTTTGTGCAAAATCTTGCCAATGTAGACACAGCCTAGGGTAATATGCCTCCAGTAAGTTTTTTGCTTAGGCGAGATTGCACAGTGTTTGCCAACATGCCCCTATTTGTTGCTAACACAAAATGTGATTGGTCTTCTAAACAAAATATTGTATCTGGCCTCTGATTGGATTATAAACTTATTCAACGAGGCTGAAATTTACTCCTGTACAGAGAACCAGCACAAAATCTGTGCACCACTTCAGTCCTTAGTTTAAGAGGGACTTCCTTAATACAGAGGCCTCATTCCATTCCCATAAGAATAATGAATGAGAAAAATGGATATTTGTACAGGACAAAAGTAATCCCTATGGAGAAATCTAGCACAAGACCAGAGTCTGGAGAGGAATGCAGATGATACTGAGAGACAATTGACCTCCAGTTTGGCCCAAGGTTGTGATTTGTGAGGAGGATTCTTTCCATATGCTAATTTCAGGAGGATGATCTGGTCCAAAAACTGCTGGAGAGGGAATGAAAGGAAATGGAATAATAAATTCTCATTGTAACAGCACTCACATTTCTCAAGGAAATAACAAAGGCAATTCATTCTTCAAATTAGAATTCATTTATTTTCTCTACCATTTAATATTAAATAATGTAATATCACAAAATGCTTTTCTGAACATTAGAAACCATTCATTAGAAACCAGCGGCCAGACACAGTTAACAGACAATTATTTGTAATTTTAGTTTTTTACATATAACAGTAATGCCATTGCTTCCTAATAGTAAATAGAAATACTATTTATTTATGTGCTTTTTTTAAAGCATCATGTTATCCATTTGGATTAATGATTACATGATGTGTTATTTTATTAAGCAACATATCATTTCAACCTTAATGGCACTAATCACACATCAATTACTATTTGCCTTTGGAATGTTCACTTCATGTGCTATGTATATAAATAACTTATGTAATGTACCTCTCCAATGCAAACCCTATTGATTAATATCATGTGTTTATCCTGCAAAGGACTTTATAGGATGTACAAAGTGAAAGGAAGATTAAAAAGAGGAATATGAGGCACTGTGCATAAAGGTGTTCAAAGAATTGTCCTTTACAAATGAAGACTGTGAGCTGATCCTGGTATTCTTCATAATCTTCAACATTTTTCCAGTTTGTATATGAGGCTGTGTCCAGACTCGAGGGTTTTTTCGAAAAAAGTAGCCTTTTTTCGAAAAAACTTCCCCTGCGTCTAGACTACAGCCGCGTTCTTTCAAAATTAAATCGAAAGAACGCGGCTTTTCTTTCGACGGTGGAAAACCTCATTTCACGAGGAAGAACGCCTTTTTTTGAAAGTGCTCTTTCGAAAAAAGGCGTTCTTGAATGCAAACAGGGCTTCTTTGAAAGAAAGCATCCAGACTTGCTTTTTCGAAAGTACTGCTTGCAGTCTAGATGCTCTTTTTTGAAAGAGGCTTTTTCGAAAGTATCTTTCGAAAATGCCTCTTTTGAAAGAGGCTTGCAGTCTAGACGTAGCCTGAGTTATTTCACAGTATGCAAAGCTGCTAACCAAATTAATGAGCTTAATCTAAATCCATGTATTTTTTTTTCCCATAATGCCCATTCAATGCTCCAGTTCCACTGAGGAACAGGGAACATGAGTTATATTTAGTTAATATTAACCTTTTGATTGGTTTGAAATTGGGCCTTCTGTAACAATTTGACCCCTTGACACATAATATGACACAAAATATGATTGATCAAGATCTAGGGTATGTCTACACTTGCACCCTCTTTTGAGAAAAGGATGCAAATGAAGACATTTGAAATTGAAAATGAAGCTGGGATTTCAATATCCCACACTTCATTTGCATACTCACGTTATGATGCTATTTCGAAATAGCACTATTTTGAAATACTAAACGTGGTGTAGATGTGGTTATTTCGGGAGAACACCATTCTTCAGAAATAACTGTTAAACCTCATCTTATAAGGAATAAGGGTTATTTCAAGATAAAGGTTTTCTCTCGAAATAACCACATCTTAACAGCGTCTGTTATTTCGAAATAGCGCCATAACGCGATTATGCAAATAAAGTAACTTCATTTATTTAAATCCCGGCTTCATTTGCAATTTTGAATGTCTTCATTTGCATCCCTCTCTTGAAAGAGAAGACATACCCATACAGAATGAATGGCTGATGCAACTTTCTTAATTTTAGTATTAAAGGATTTTTTTGTCCCCTTTAGCTAATAGATATTAATGGGGTTACATGCAGGTTTAATTAGGTCAAGGTGCTCTTCATGTTGATCCCCTGAGTCAGGCATCTGCTAAATCCTGCAATAGAGAATGAGGGTACACATACAAGGTAAAGATACATGTGTAAATATCTAAGACCTTCTTTCACCCTACAAACAAACAGGAACCACCAGTCCTGTCTGGGTCTTGTGCTCAAGTTCATCCCAGGAGCTGACCCCTTGAAGCCACTTGCCTGACTTGGTACAAGAGCTGAAATACTGAGTGCTTTCCCAAGCAAATGAAGACAAATGGTAGAGAGCTTGTTTAAAGGTTCTATGAATCACAAAGTAATGTGCTGAGACGGCTGTAGTGCTCTGGTTCATAGGACCATCATGGAAGGCTGAGGGCAATTGCTGAGGGCCTGCTGAGTACATTGTTGATGTAACTGAGTACCACATAAGTTAGTATACTACCTCCTTCCTGAGGCTTGCATGTCACACCAGCCAGCTCTGATCCCCAAAAAACCACCATGACCAAAACAGGAGAAAATTCAAAGCAAGTCATGTCACACACAGTCCAGCTTTGTGTAACAAGTGTCAGGCCATTTCTGAGTACACCATTTGCCTTGATAAAACACCCCACAATCTGTACACTCTGTAGCATCTGACTAGATTTTAACCAGCTTTGTAATAGTCATTCCTCCCTCCACAATGATACCCCATTAAAGTGAGTCAGAAAACCTTCCCACACTCCTAAGTCTTCTTTCATCTCCCTAGTGACTCATATGTAATAGTGTGGCCTAGCTATGTTGGGTGTTGCTCCTGCCATATAGGCACAAAATGTTAGCCCCAGGGCAACAAATCAAATATACATTCTACCTCCAGTTTGTAAGAGAGGATTCCATATTCCAATATCTGAGCCATTTCCAAGCATTTTTACTTCAGCTTTGACGGGGGGACCACAATTTTATCCTATATGGTTAATGGAACTCACTTAACAGAAGTAATGGTCACAGAAAAGAGGTGAACTTCTGGCCTTTCTCAAAGCAAACAAAAAGGTTCTGCTGACTGATATACATACTCTTCAGTCATTGCTACCTCACTTCAGCAAAAGTAGAATTAATTATTGATTTTGAATTATTCAATAAGGCCTGCACAATAAATTTTGCAGGAAATGTTAAAATCTGTTCTGCCTTATTTTTTCTCCTCTTGTCCCCTTCCATATTTTCAGTTCAGTGCGTTCAGCTTCATATCATTATATTATTGTGAATAATACAGCAACACTTCACACATCATATTACTGTTCACAAGAAACTTAAAACGTGCAGAAATAAAGAGGTGAACATGTTTGTTTTCTGCAAAAAACCTTTCTGTTCTTGCATAAGTGACACAATTCCCATGAAAGCCAGAGAGACCAGCACATGTCTGTCTGGAGTGAGAATGTAGCTCTAAGAGCTAAAAACTATCTAAATATTAAGCAAAGATGTACATAAATGGCATGTATTTTCACAGCTAAATTCCAGCAGTGTCCGAACAAGCAGATTCACAGTTCTTGTTTGTAAAACCAACCCCACAGGACACATATTGGCTGTGTCTAGACTGGCCAGTTTTTCCGGAAAATCAGCCGCTTTTCCGGAAAAACTTGCCAGCTGTCTACACTGGCCGCTTGAATTTCCGCAAAAGCACTGACTTCCTACTGTAAGAAATCAGTGGTTCTTGCAGAAATCCTATTCTGCTCCCATGCAGGCAAAAGTCCCTTTTGTGCAAAAGAGCCAGTGTAGACAGCTCAGATTTGTTTTCTGCAAAAAAGCTCCGATCGTGAAAATGGCGATCGGGGCATTTTTGCGGAAAAGCGCATCTAGATAGGCACGGACGCTTTTCTGCAAAAAGTGCTTTTGCGGAAAAGCGTCCGTGCCAATCTAGATGCTCTGTTCCGAAAATGCTTTTAACGGAAAACTTTTCTGTTAAAAGCATTTCTGGAAAATCATGCCAGTCTAGACACATTTAGTTTAGAAAAAAAACTTAAAATTCTTGCTACAATGAAATATCACAAAAAAGCAAAATGCAGGACAATGTAGCACTTTAAAGACTAACAAGATGGTTTATTAGATGATGAGCTTTCGTGGGCCAGACCCACTTCCTCAGATCAAATAGTGGAAGAAAGTAGTCACAACCATATATACCAAAGGATACAATTAAAAAAAATGAACAAATATGAAAAGGACAAATCACATTGCAGAACAGAAGAGGGATGCACAGACCCATAGTCTCCTATAGACAACCACCTAACCTCAAGATGATTCTTACCAACCACCACAGGACATACCACACTAATACCAACCCTGGTACCCAAGTTATTAAGGCATTATCCTTGGGCTTCAGAGACTTTGCAGACTATATGGGTCTGGGAAGAAGAATAGAGGAGTTTGAAAGGCAAGTCTTGTTGTGATCAGGGGGAAATCCCGATGATTGGAAAAAGACAAATGATCTTTTAAAAAGGGAAGAAGGAGGATCTATCAGCCTCAGTTCAGCCCGTGGAAAAATCATGGAGTACATCCTCAAGCAATCCATTCTGAAACACTTGGAGGAGAGAAAAGTGATCAAGAACAGTTACCAAGGGCAACTCATGCCTGATCAACTTAATTGCCTTCTTTGATGAAACAACTGGCTCTGTGGATATTAGTAAAAATGTTCAACATCTTTTTTAATAACAATTTTGAAATAAGCATTATTCCTCATGGAAAGCAGGAGTTATTCTTTTGAATTAACTAGCTCATTATTTTGAAATAGCAAGGTTGGTAGTGTGGGCGCTCTGCTTGTTATTTCAAGATAAGGGGAGTTATTTTGAAATAACTCCCTAGTGTAGACCAGGGCCTGCAGAGCTAGGCAGCAGCAGAGCAGGAGTGTGGAGATTTCAACGGTGCCAAAAAATGTGAATTAGGCAGAGAAAAATGGATTGAATTGCCGAAGCACCTTTGTGCTTCACATCCTTTGTCGCTCTGTACCTTAGCTCCCACATATAAAATTGGAGCAAGAGTAGTTATCTCATAAGAGTGTTCTGATGTCAAATACAGATTGGACCTCCCTGGTCCAGCACCTCAGGACCTGACCAGTTGCAAGCAAGAGAATTTGCTGGAGTAGGGGAGTTCTTCTCCCACCATCTCCCAAGACCATTTCCTGCTATCAACAGACTGCCCCAGCAGGCACCCTGCCTTTCCCTTTCCCCCAAACTGGCTGGGATGCTTGCCCAGCTGCTGCCAGCTCCCTGGGGGTCCCTGT